CGAATAAAAAAAACAGAGGGGAAGGGGTAACTTAAAAACACAACTAACAACGCCCACCCTTCTAAGGTTAAGTTATGCGACTAGTTGCTATGCCTAGGTGTACTTTTATATGTAAGCGGCCAATCGAACCTAAGAATTAAATAGTCCATAGTCTCAAAATAGAACAAAACCATAAAATGTTTATCTTTAACATAAACAAAAGTTATTACTGATGGCATGAAAAACATGCCAAATAAATTTCACCGAGCGATATTTTCATATGAAATTCATTTATTTATTTGACAGATGAAGGTAAAAGTTGATTATTATGCTTAGCAATTTAGATTGTTTAGAGAGTACGTGTTCTAAAAATAATGCGCTGTGGATAACCCTCCGCACTAGTGACCGAAACATGTCAGCTTCGTCTCTCCGATTTTCCTTCCTACCATCATATAGCTTCCATACTGAATTTCATATACGTTGGCTTATGTTCATAGACTATAGTTTACCTTGTTGGACTCATTTTAAAACAGTGAAATAATGCCTAAGAATAAAAATATAAAAAAGCGTGGAGGTAAGTTTTTGTTTTCATACATTTACTGTTGCGCCATTTTGTTCATCAATCATTCAGCCACCACCCGTACCATACCACACCATATGGTGAAACGTGATAGAATCTAATCTAGTCATTAGATCTAGAATTTAGATCTAGTTCAACCACCCCTTAGGAAATGCCACTTTTTAAAAAAAATATCAATTTATATTTTATAAATAGACACATAGTCTACAACTTAACATAAGTTTAAAGTAAAGTTAAATTAATCTAACACAACTTTGCAATAACAAACCGGTTTACTTCGCCGGATTGTTGTGGCCGCTTAGGATCATCATCATGATGACGAAGAATTGCGTTTTAGTATTTTGTAGAGGTTAGCCTGAGATCACGGGGGGGGGGGGGGTAAAATGCTACGATTGTCTTTAAAGTTAAGGATAAGAGTATAAAGAAGATTGTCTTACATCAACAGTACACTCCTTACTTATTAGGCCTATACTAGATCTACTTAACACGAGAAATTCTAGTAGATCTAGATTCTATATAGATCTAGAAATGATCTAAATTTCATGACAACATGGTCCTGCTGAGCTAGATCGAGTCTAGATCATTTAATTTAGATTACTTTACTAGAATCTAGATCTAGATCTAATCTAGAAAATCTAGATACAGTGACTAATGTCTTATTGATTAGCCATATGGAGTGTAGTTTAATACTACAACAATAGGCATATTTACTCAATTTAGGTTGGTTTGGAGAGGCCAGCTTGTAGGCCTACAAGGTTAAGTGGGGATTTAAGCCCAATAGGTAGCCTAGGCCTAACTAATTTATTTGTTATAGATCTAGATCTCTAAACTAAGCATTTTACTCAGTTGAAGGCCCTTCTCTATAGGCCTACTGTAGTACTGTAATCATTTATATTTTATAAAGCTTTTTGCATATAGAGCAATATAAACCATTTACCAAATTACAAGAAGTAGTAGTAGGCCTAGGCCTATATGAAAATTAATTTTGACTGCCTTTCTAGGTGGCAGAGCACAAGAAGGTGCCACTCAGTTGCAGCCCCGGCAGAGAAATGAAGAAGATGATGAAAGTTTAGTAGATCAATGGAGTACTCAGAGTGTGTTATCAGATGATTCAAGCTGGCCTGGTTCAGGTAGCTGTTTGACTTTTTTAAATATGTTTACTTTACTCAAGTCTAATGTCTGGTTATTAACACACTTAAGTCTCAAGTTATTTTATCATATTTTTCCCTTTAGTTTTTTTTTTTCAACATGGCACAAAGACTGGCATAACATAATTTTTCCACTCTATTTTCACATGTGATGATATAACAATAGATCTAATATATATATATTTAGCTTGACATTAAGAATTGTAAAATTACACTGTTTGTAGACCCAGCAGCAGGAGGTGAAGAATCATCTGAAGACACATCTCAGCAGGATCTCTTTGAGGACAAGTTTACAGAATGTATGGATGGTCTTTTGGAGAAAAGGTAGTTCACTTTGTAATGAATAGCATTTATACAAAAAGTAACGAGCTTTTTAGGTTACCTTTGTCAATTAGAATTTATGCTTAAGTTTTTGATGCAATGTTCCCGTTAAATGTATTGTGTATTAACAATAGCTTATGTATTATGTCCACTCTCCCCATCAATCTACACTTTTAAGTACTTCCTTTGTGGGGATGATGTGATATAACTGAACAAAATTAATCTATACAATTTTTTCACAGTGCAAAGCCAAGAATAACAGCATTGCAAGGGATTCAGAAAGCATTACAAAAAAAAATATGTAGCAGAGTATCTTCTAGAAAGGTTAAAAAAAACTTTCTCTTGTTAGTGTTTGTGACTGTAGGGAAAAAAATTGGATTGGCTTGTTATACTTTTGTATTTCTTGCATTTTAATACTACCTATGTTCTTATACAACAGAAAAGAGACTCTGTCAGATAGCCTGGTGAAGTGTCTGAGGAAAGGAAAAGGTGAGGAGCAGGAACTAGCAGCTGCCTGTCTGAGTCTGGTTGCCGTCCAGTTGGGCTCTGAGGCTTCAGCCATGTATGACAGCATCCACCCTGTGCTGACCACCCTGATGACAGACAACTCCACCCACTACAAGGCTCGCGGGGGCGTGTGCCATTACACTTGCCACTTGCTGTTTCCTCTGTTCTGATGACTTGGAGGTAATACAATTGTTTTAATAGCTGATCAGTTGATGTTGACTCAACTTATACATATAATGAATCATTGAAAGCACATTTAATGGGCTTAAGGTTTGTTGTTTATTGTCATTAGTTCATGTGAAATATGTAGCTGCTTTTGTCTTAAAAATCATGTGTTATGTGCTCTTTGCCTGAGATCAAGTACAACCTGCAAGACAACAGATGTTTTGTCTCATAAATGGGTTGCTGTCCCCAGCTAATCAAGTTTTCTCTGCCTCCAGAAAGCAAAAGCTCTGACTAAAACCTTGGAAGACATGTTCAGTCTTGGCTATGGGAAGGGGGAGAACTCTCCTAGTGTCACACCAGAACAGAGCTGGCTGATGTGCCAAGCCTTGAGTGCTTGGTGCCTTCTGTTGACCATCTCTCCACAGTATGAGGTCCAGACTCACATCAACAAGTAAGTTCCCTGTCCCCATCAGCAGGACAGTGTTTTTGTATCACACCTAAACAGGACAGTGTTTTTATCACACTTAAACAGGACAGTGTTTTTATCTCACATAAGCAGGACAGTGTTTTTATCACACATAAACAGGACAGTGTTTTTATCTCACATAAACAGGACAGTGTTTTTATCACACGTAAACAGGACAGTGTTTTTATCTCACATAAACAGGACAGTGTTTTTATCTCACATAAACAGGACAGTGTTTTTATCACACGTAAACAGGACAGTGTTTTTATCACACGTAAACAGGACAGTGTTTTTATCTCACATAAACAGGACAGTGTTTTTATCTCACATAAACAGGACAGTGTTTTTATCACATGTAAACAGGACAGTGTTTTTATCTCACATAAACAGGAGAGTGTTTTTATCACACGTAAACAGGACAGTGTTTTTATCACACGTAAACAGGACAGTGTTTTTGTCACACGTCACATTTTTGTCATACTGGGCTAGCTCAGTATTTATGAACTGAGATTTTTACCTTGACATTTGTAAATATTTTTTGTAGCCACTTGGGTTCGCTGCAGGACTTGTTGAAGAACTCTGATGTAGATCTGCGCATCACTGCTGGTGAGGCCATCGCCCTGCTCTATGAGCTGGCCAGGGATTCTGAAGAAGTAGGTTTTTTTTTCTGCGCAGTAACGGAGAATTAAAAATGCGACATACTGATTATGCGCATAGGTACAATTATCCTACTGTGCCATCCTGTCGTTGTGTGTTGGGTACATTCAGACGGTCATATCGGTACCAATGGTTGCGTTGTCTAGTTCAAATTTATACCTTCACACTCTCTTTGGCTCACGCGCATCACAATAGTTTTTTTTTTACTTCATGAATTCAGCCTACTTACATGATGGTCCTTGTGGCAGGTGAAGTAGAGTTCTGTTTGATTGACCTCTGCATATGGTGAGAGCGATGCTGGAATAATGTGATCATGCTGATGGGTACAATATGAATTTAGCTTTGAAATAGCATTGTAAAATATGAGGAGAATATAAAAACTAAGGCAGTAAGGTGTGGACCACTATCCTGGATACCCCTACAGATAGGTCTTCACAGTGATCATGACAATAATAACACCTCGTGATAAATACGATAAGGTTGAGTACTAACAAAAAGTACCCACTTCTTCAGCACTGAGTACCCTCAGCAGTGACGCTGAGCACCAGCTCTGAGTACCCACAGCAGTGACACCAAGAACTGACAGCGGTAACACTGAGTACCAGAATTTCAACACTGAGTACCCACAACTCAGTAAACATGGCTTCAACACTCAGTACCCACTGCTTCAGCTCTGAGTACCCACAGCAGTAGGTCTAAGTAGCTACAGCAGTCATTGGGTATCCATAGCAATATCATTTGAGTTCCACAACAGTATCATGTAGTACCAAAAGAAGAAATATTGGATATCAACAACAATAGCAGTGGGACTGAGTACCTACACCAGCTGCATTGTGCATAGAAGAGTAAACAATATCAGAACACTGTCGTTTTGAGAAATATTCACTTTTGCTTTGTGTGTATAACAAATATTAGTAAAATGAGAAATTTGCAGTTTTATTAGTTGACCTAGAATAGGAGCTCATGAAAAAGGGTGTAACCATTGATAACATTGAGAAAGTTTATGTCAGAGCTAGATAGTGAGCAGGTGCAGCAGAGTTATGCAACTATACTCAAACAACTAAACTATAATTTACATGAATTTCACAAGTGAGTCTACATCTCCTTGCAATTTCATGTTTAGTTTGTGATATTCTATTATTTGAGTGTGGATATTTAGAGAACTGCGTGCGAGTAAAAATAGTAAAATGACCCAGACTACAACATTTTTTATTACTGTTTGGTCCAATAGTGCAAGATGTCGTGAATTGGTGACATGCCGTAATTATCATAAAAAATATAAGTCCTAATTCAAAACAACTATTCAATTTCAACATCAGTATGATGAAAAAACATCAGCAACATAATTCAAGCATTAAGAGGTTAAAGGCTGTTGTATTTTCTTTTATTGCTTAATGATGAAAAAAATTGTATTGTAGGATTTTGAACATGAGGATGAAGAAAGTCTATGTGAACTGTTGAAGCAGCTAGCAACTGATTCTGTGAAACATCGAGCTAAGAAAGACAGACGCCACCAGAGGTCATGCTTTAGGGATGTACAGCGTTATGTTGTAGTAAGTTAACTCATCCCTTCCCTAAGTCAGTAGGTTAAAAAATTGTCAGCAAGAAACTACGTGTATAAACAGAGTTCTATTTGTACCTAACTAGAATACATTTTATTTCTTAGGATATAGAGAGTCCAAATGAAGTTGTCAAACTTGGTAAAGAAAATCTTCTTGAACTCAGCAGCTGGTCTCAGAAGCGCCAGTATGATTCTTTTTGTCATGTGCTGATGACTGGGACCTTGGTTCATATGAAGGTTTGTTAAAGTTCATTGAACCATGACTACTTTCAGCTTATAGTGTGGTATCTTGCATTTACTGATCCAGTTGTTTACATTTAGATAGTAAAACATTTCTACGGGGGGGGGGGGGGTGTTAATTTCGTGGTGTCACAATTGATCACAATGCATTAAGTTGAGATGTAACTATGCTTTTTCCATTTGAGAAAAAATCTTTCAGAAGTCTTCAGAAAACAGTCAGAAAAGTTTTCTCTTTATATGTGAGGACTATTTTATGAATAAAATAGAAATGTGCTGCAATAATAAAATTTAGTCTATTGTAATTTGGTTACCGCAAGCAAATCAGGCCTTTTGGAAATAAAGCAGAGAGATGTAGTGTAAGGCTACTCAGTTGATAAGTGAAGAAAAACACATTCTTGGTCCATAATGATTTTATGTATCTATATAAGTGAAAACTTTAGTCATGATCTTCTGCCTTGCTTTTGTCTATAATCTTATATTTGGCACTTTATCTTGCTACCTTAGTTTCAAAATCTGCCCAAGGCATTTGTTCATGAAGGTCTGTATCTTTGCTGTGCTTGCCTTTGAGACTCCATGTCATAGTAGTTTGCTACAGATGATTTATTATTAGCAACAGATAGTCATGTGGGACACCCAAAGGAGATTCTGACTGTATCTACAACACTTACACAACTTAGCCTTCATTTAATACGGATGTAAAAACAAGTAACCCTATATTTGCTGCAAGCATTTCATTCTTTTATCAAGTTTTTTTTTTTTTTTTCATTTTTAGGTGAATCCAATACTGAGAGATATGTTTGACTTTATATTTTTAGGTGAATCCAATACTGAGAGATATGTTTGACTTTATATTTTTAGGTGAATCCAATACTGAGAGATATGTTTGACTTTATATTTTTAGGTGAATCCAATACTGAGAGATATGTTTGACTTTATATTTTTAGGTGAATCCAATACTGAGAGATATGTTTGACTTTATATTTTTAGGTGAATCCAATACTGAGAGATATGTTTGACTTTATATTTTTAGGTGAATCCAATACTGAGAGATATGTTTGACTTTATAATTTTAGGTGAATCCAATACTGAGAGATATGTTTGACTTTATATTTTTAGGTGAATCCAATACTGAGAGATATGTTTGACTTTATATTTTTAGGTGAATCCAATACTGAGAGATATGTTTGACTTTATATTTTTAGGTGAATCCAATACTGAGAGATATGTTTGACTTTATAATTTTAGGTGAATCCAATACTGAGAGATATGTTTGACTTTATAATTTTAGGTGAATCCAATACTGAGAGATATGTTTGACTTTATATTTTTAGGTGAATCCAATACTGAGAGATATGTTTGACTTTATATTTTTAGGTGAATCCAATACTGAGAGATATGTTTGACTTTATAATTTTAGGTGAATCCAATACTGAGAGATATGTTTGACTTTATAATTTTAGGTGAATCCAATACTGAGAGATATGTTTGACTTTATATTTTTAGGTGAATCCAATACTGAGAGATATGTTTGACTTTATATTTTTAGGTGAATCCAATACTGAGAGATATGTTTGACTTTATATTTTTAGGTGAATCCAATACTGAGAGATATGTTTGACTTTATATTTTTAGGTGAATCCAATACTGAGAGATATGTTTGACTTTATATTTTTAGGTGAATCCAATACTGAGAGATATGTTGACTTTATATTTTTAGGTGAATCCAATACTGAGAGATATGTTTGACTTTATATTTTTAGGTGAATCCAATACTGAGAGATATGTTTGACTTTATATTTTTAGGTGAATCCAATACTGAGAGATATGTTTGACTTGGGGGCACCTGGCTTGGATGATTACAGCCACACCAAGTCTCTCTCTAAAGCTCAAAGGGCAAGTACATTATTTGATCCATACTAGTCTGTTGCAAGTGTCTTAGCCTGTTTGATCCATACTAGTCTGTTGCAAGTGTCTTAGCCTGTTTGATCCATACTAGTCTGTTGCAAGTGTCTTAGCCTGTTTGATCCATACTAGTCTGTTGCAAGTGTCTTAGCCTGTTTGATCCATACTAGTCTGTTGCAAGTGTCTTAGCCTGTTTGATCCATACTAGTCTGTTGCAAGTGTCTTAGCCTGTTTGATCCATACTAGTCTGTTGCAAGTGTCTTAGCCTGTTTGATCCATACTAGTCTGTTGCAAGTGTCTTAGCCTGTTTGATCCATACTAGTCTGTTGCAAGTGTCTTAGCCTGTTTGATCCATACTAGTCTGTTGCAAGTGTCTTAGCCTGTTTGATCCATACTAGTCTGTTGCAAGTGTCTTAGCCTGTTTGATCCATACTAGTCTGTTGCAAGTGTCTTAGCCTGTTTGATCCATACTAGTCTGTTGCAAGTGTCTTAGCCTGTTTGATCCATACTAGTCTGTTGCAAGTGTCTTAGCCTGTTTGATCCATACTAGTCTGTTGCAAGTGTCTTAGCCTGTTTGATCCATACTAGTCTGTTGCAAGTGTCTTAGCCTGTTTGATCCATACTAGTCTGTTGCAAGTGTCTTAGCCTGTTTGATCCATACTAGTCTGTTGCAAGTGTCTTAGCCTGTTTGATCCATACTAGTCTGTTGCAAGTGTCTTAGCCTGTTTGATCCATACTAGTCTGTTGCAAGTGTCTTAGCCTGTTTGATCCATACTAGTCTGTTGCAAGTGTCTTAGCCTGTTTGATCCATACTAGTCTGTTGCAAGTGTCTTAGCCTGTTTGATCCATACTAGTCTGTTGCAAGTGTCTTAGCCTGTTTGATCCATACTAGTCTGTTGCAAGTGTCTTAGCCTGTTTGAACCATGCATGTTTGTTGCAAAAATTTTTTTAACCTATTTGCCTCCCTCTTGTAGACATTCATCAACGCTGCCGCCTTTAAAGCCAGGACGAAAGCTCGGGCCAAACATCGTGACAAAAGAGCAGTGACTGTCAATGCTTACTGAGTCCTCTGCTAGAAGGTTGAGGTGGTCTCTCATTCAAGGCTTTAGTTCAAATTGCATAATGATGGTGGTCATATTCTATTGCAGTAATGCTAACACTATTTTGTTTTAGATTAGTTTTTAAGTAGTCTTAATTTGATACAATGGCCTAGCATTGTAGTAACTGCCTGACATCAGGAAGATTGGTTTTTCTCATGAAATGGTATTGAAATGAGTGGCATTTGTATTGTATTCTTGGATCTGTGCTGTTCCCCAGTTTGACCTATAATTTTTCTAGTCAACTGGTGTGTGACTGCTTGCTGTCCCCTGTACAGCTCTGGACTGCCCAACTAATGTATTTCCTAGATATTATTTAAAGCAAATGTATTTCCTAAATATTTAGAGCATTGAATAGGAATGCAATAAAGAATATTGGCATATGATTATGTAATTTAAATTTATTTTTACTTTGCATTGTTCAGTTTTTAGACTATTTCATCTCATGGCATTGTTTTTTTGTTTTTTTTTCTTTTTGAAAAATTTAAAACCTCAAAGTTGTATTGTGTTAAAATTTTACATTGAAAGTATTTGATAATGTTGAAGCTATATTTTTATTTCTACACATTGCAGCATTTTGTTTAGATCATACATTTATAGCCATGTAATATTGAAACAAGTTTACAGAAACCAACTGTAGCTGAAGATTTCTTGTTTAGATCATACATTTATACCCATGTAATATTGAAACAAGTTTACAGAAACCAACTGTAGCTGAAGATTTCTTGTTTAGATCATACATTTATACCCATGTAATATTGAAACAAGTTTACAGAAACCAACTGTAGCTGAAGATTTCTTGTTTAGATCATACATTTATACCCATGTAATATTGAAACAAGTTTACAGAAACCAACTGTAGCTGAAGATTTCTTGTTTAGATCATACATTTATACCCATGTAATATTGAAACAAGTTTACAGAAACCAACTGTAGCTGAAGATTTAGTGACCTGTGGGTTGTAAATCATACACAGTTGTCTGCACATGCAATGAAATATTTTCCCATGATTAGAATGTCCTAGTTTAGCACAGCATAATATTCTGTGATATCATCATTCCTCTCAACAAACTGGTTGATCTACTAACTTTTATCATGGATTAGGTTCATTGATTGCACACATTTGACTGTTTGGTTGTGGTTTTGTGGGGTTTTTGATTATTCAAATTATGTCTGAAATTTTTCATCTTATTTAATCAAAGATTATTTTTCTTGTTGTTGCAAGATAATTTTTAAAGAACATTTTTATTTGATACTTGTATATATGTATGGACAGACAAGAGAATGGTTTAGTTTGGTGTGCCAGTGGGTTTCATTATTTTAAGAATTGTATCATGTTTTAACCATAGATATTTTAACTTATGCAATGTTGAATATGGTGTCAATGTTTGTATGGTTTAAGTGTCTGATACTATTTGCTTTATGCTGTATTTAATCGTAGTTGGGGGTCTGCTATTTGTAGTGTGTGACTATTACATCCAGTAGGCCACTTATACACCATGACATTGAGAAGTTGTCAAACTTAAGTCCCATTTTGAGATCATCACATGGAAACAAAAAAAAAGGTGCCTTTCTTCTTTCCCCCCCCCCCCCCCCCCCCCATGACCCCCCATGATTTTGTATTAATTGTGGTGTGACTGTTGGGAACCTGCCTGTTGTACATAAACTTAGTTATCATCAGTTCTCTGTGATGTCTCCACCCACCCAAGTGGGACATGTTTTCTCTCTGCTGTCTGTACCGGTACCTAGTGTTTTGTAAATAGATTGGAAATAGCTTTTTTGTCACCAGGTATTTATGTAAATACTGTAGTTACATTATCTTTCAAATTTATTTTTTAAAAATTTGTTTTGAATCTATCAAAATTCTTTTTTCCGGACAATGGAAATTGAAAAAAAAAATCAGTATGTAAGTATGTGCTTCTGTCTGTTCTTAGTTTCAGCACCCATCATGAGACATTTATTTTTCTTTAGTAAATTATTTGTGCGTGCATTTTGTTAGTCCCAGAATGAAAGAAATTGTATATTTTAGCTTTTGTTCCCTTGATGCTCTCCCCTGTCTGAATCTATTATAGTTGGACCATGTACATGAGATGATGTGTGGCTTCAGACTTCCCAGATGTGTTTAGTGGGTGAGCTGACAGTAATGTGTGGTTGTCTAGATGTGTGGCTTCAGACTTCCCAGATGTGTTTAGTGGGTGAGCTGACAGTAATGTGTGGTTGTCTAGATGTGTGGCTTCAGACTTCCCAGATGTGTTTAGTGGGTGAGCTGACAGTAATGTGTGGGTGTCTAGATGTGTGGCTTCAGACTTCCCAGATGTGTTAGTGGGTGAGCTGACAGTAATGTGTGGTTGTCTAGATGTATGGCTTCAGACTTCCCAGATGTGTTTAGTGGGTGAGCTGACTGTGTGGTTGTCTAGATGTATGGCTTCAGACTTCCCAGATGTGTTAGTGGGTGAGCTGACAGTAATGTGTGGGTGTCTAGATGTGTGGCTTCAGACTTCCCAGATGTGTTAGTGGGTGTCTAGATATGTGTGGGTGTCTAGATGTGTGGCTTCAGACTTCCCAGATGTGTTAGTGGGTGTCTAGATATGTGTGGGTGTCTAGATGTGTGGCTTCAGACTTCCCAGATGTGTTAGTGGGTGTCTAGATATGTGTGGGTGTCTAGATGTGTGGCTTCAGACTTCCCAGATGTGTTAGTGGGTGTCTAGATATGTGTGGGTGTCTAGATGTGTGGCTTCAGACTTCCCAGATGTGTTAGTGGGTGTCTAGATATGTGTGGGTGTCTAGATGTGTGGCTTCAGACTTCCCAGATGTGTTTAGTGGGTGAGCTGACAGTAATGTGTGGTTGTCTAGATGTATGGCTTCAGACTTCCCAGATGTGTTAGTGGGTGTCTAGATATGTGTGGGTGTCTAGATGTGTGGCTTCAGACTTCCCAGATGTGTTTAGTGGGTGAGCTGACTGTGTGGGTGTCTAGATGTGTGGCTTCAGACTTCCCAGATGTGTTTAGTGGGTGAGCTGACTGTGTGGGTGTCTAGATGTGTGGCTTCAGACTTCCCAGATGTGTTTAGTGGGTGAGCTGACTGTGTGGGTGTCTAGATGTGTGGCTTCAGACTTCCCAGATGTGTTTAGTGGGTGAGCTGACTGTGTGGGTGTCTAGATGTGTGGCTTCAGACTTCCCAGATGTGTTTAGTGGGTGAGCTGACTGTGTGGGTGTCTAGATGTGTGGCTTCAGACTTCCCAGATGTGTTTAGTGGGTGAGCTGACTGTGTGGGTGTCTAGATGTGTGGCTTCAGACTTCCCAGATGTGTTTAGTGGGTGAGCTGACTGTGTGGGTGTCTAGATGTGTGGCTTCAGACTTCCCAGATGTGTTTAGTGGGTGAGCTGACAGTAATGTGTGGTTGTCTAGATGTGTGGCTTCAGACTTCCCAGATGTGTTTAGTGGGTGAGCTGACAGTAATGTGTGGTTGTCTAGATGTGTGGCTTCAGACTTCCCAGATGTGTTTAGTGGGTGAGCTGACAGTAATGTGTGGTTGTCTAGATGTGTGGCTTCAGACTTCCCAGATGTGTTTAGTGGGTGAGCTGACAGTAATGTGTGGTTGTCTAGATGTGTGGCTTCAGACTTCCCAGATGTGTTTAGTGGGTGAGCTGACTGTGTGGGTGTCTAGATGTGTGGCTTCAGACTTCCCAGATGTGTTTAGTGGGTGAGCTGACAGTAATGTGTGGCTTCAGACTTCCCAGATGTGTTTAGTGGGTGAGCTGACTGTGTGGGTGTCTAGATGTGTGGCTTCAGACTTCCCAGATGTGTTTAGTGGGTGTCTAGATGTGTGGCTTCAGACTTCCCAGATGTGTTTAGTGGGTGAGCTGACAGTAATGTGTGGTTGTCTAGATGTGTGGCTTCAGACTTCCCAGATGTGTTTAGTGGGTGAGCTGACAGTAATGTGTGGCTTCAGACTTCCCAGATGTGTTTAGTGGGTGAGCTGACAGTAATGTGTGGCTTCAGACTTCCCAGATGTGTTTAGTGGGTGAGCTGACAGTAATGTGTGGCTTCAGACTTCACAGATGTGTTTAGTGGGTGAGCTGACAGTGATGTGTGGGTGTCTAGACATATGTGTCACTATACTGAAAGTTGTAAGCACTTGAAGCTTTATGTGAAAAGATTTAAATTATATCCTGGTCAATAAACATTTTCTTCCAACTCTACCACTACTTATTTTTGTTTTTTAGTCTTTCATCTTCTTAGTATCCGTTCTTTGTTTTCTCTTGAGTGTTTACAATTATTTTTGTGTGTGGCCTTTTTGTTGTATAATTAGTTGTTTCTTTGTTTAGCTAATATTTTGGATACATACTATACAACTCAAGTGTATTTATTTCAACTCTTCCCCCCCCCCCCCAAGAAGCTGTAAATATGTTAAGTTATCAGTTGTACTTCCTTGCTTGAAATGCTGACTAAAATAGTCATACATAATCATGTCAGGAGAAAGTCATAGGAAACCAATCCAATACTTTTCACTATTTTTAACTCACAGTTTATCATTGAAGTACTAAACACATTATCTCATGTCCTTTTCGGCTAGTTTCCCCACCATCTTTTATGGACTCAACAAAAACATGTATGGTTATCTTAAAAAACAAACATGTTTGTTTATTTAAAAAAAAATTAAATAAGCATACACAGATTCTAAAGGCAAACACTCCTTGCATACGGTTGATATGTTATATTATGAGACACAAATTGCCAAGCATATTAAAATTAGCTTTAAGTTAATGCCCTCTTACATACAAACATTTTATATGATTGATAGGTTAGCTGATAGCAAGAGCCAATACTGTATGCAAATACACTGTATGGACATTTTAAAATCCTACACAATTTACACACTTGAAAGCAGCTCAAGTGAGGGGAATATCCCCACCCACCTGATGATTGGGGGGGGGGGGGAAATTGGGAGCAGGGGGGAAATTTTCCCCCTTAATTGGGAGCAGGGTGCAAGTTAAATTACACCATCAATGAGAAACAGCTGTGACAGTTTACCCATTATTGGGGAGCAGGGTGACTGTTAGCCCAACAATGGGGGAGCAGGGTGACTGTTAGCCCATTATTGGGGAGCAGGGTGACTGTTAGCCCATTATTGGGGAGCAGGGTGACTGTTAGCCCAACAATGGGGGAGCAGGGTGACTGTTAGCCCATTATTGGGGAGCAGGGTGACTGTTAGTCCATTATTGGGGAGCAGGGTGACTGTTAGCCCAACAATGGGGGAGCTTGGTTACAAGCTCTTATAGCAACCTTCATGCAAATCAACGTAATTAAATAGATCTAGAAGAGAGGCACGTTAATTATTATTTAATCAACTAACTACTAACAAACTAGTTACTAAGTTTTTCATATACCCGCCTTTACATTAAATAATAAATATATTCCGTTGTTTTGCTTTTGTTACAAGTTAAAATTACTTGCTCATTGCAGAATATTAGCATTTGTAGTTTCTGTGTGTTGCAGACTATTATTTATAAAATGTTGACTGTTTGAACTTGTTTCTTGTGCTGCAGAAAAAAAAACTCATTTGCTGGTACAAAGACGGTAAGTGGCAATCTTGAGTCTAAAGCTCGAGTTTAGATTATAGCATAGTTACAGACTTAAAATAGCTGTCACATCTCTTGAGATTTTCTGTGAAACACTTTCGTCTCGCGAAACACACTTTTACCAGAAGTTTTGTAGATATCACACATCCATGTGTTGCTAATTACTAATTAGTTTTGTCTCCGCCACTTTGCACAGAAGTTGTCCCGGAAGTGTAAAGTTTTAAACTCTCACAAACCATAGCAACGGAATGGAATGGTCTAAGCCCCGATACGATATGACAAAAAAAAAAACTGTCTAAATTAAAAAAAAAAATGTTACTAAAGCTTCGTGTACAAGATGGCGAAACAGGCAGAGAAAACGGTGCTCCAAATTGTGTATTGGAAGGTCAAGGACGGAGCCGCCCCCTCAACCCCTGTCACCCTATCTGCGACGGGTCCAGGATTTGGTTTTTCTGTAACTGGGATCGGCGGGTCGACCGTGGCTTGCCTTGACCTGTCTGACGTTTGGGCTGTTTGGCGTGTCAGCAGGTCAGCTAGAGAAATTGTGTCCGGCTCATTTGGGGTAGTCGGTGCCGCCGTTGTGAGATCCCCTGTGGAAGAGAACAAATTTGGGGTTAGGATACTGTATCGACCACCTGGGCTAACCAGTGCTGGCCGTGAGAATCTTGGGGATTCGGCCAACAACCCATAAATTACCTGGTGACACCACGGGCCGACCGTTGATGCTTGGACGGGGCTAGCGACAGTCCGTGGTTTATGACTGGGAGAACCTTCCTGAGCGGACGGGACCGAGTGGAGGGTCATGTCCGGATCGGACCCTGGGTGTCGGTATGCTTTTGTATTTTTTTAATGACCTGTTCAGCATAAAGACGATAGCCCAAGCGACCGTAGGGCCACTATCTGTGTCAGCTTGGGTCAAGCAGGTGGGTGTAACTAGCCTATTTAAGAGGGGAGACACACACTCGGATAGCTAGGGTGAGGAGACTCATGGGACGTCTCTGTGAGCTAGTGGCAAGCCCCGAGATGTCTGGACTGTAGTAGACCTAGACTAGGATAGACAGTTAGGGACAGAGTAGAGTAGTCGGACTCAGGAATTTAGTTGTTGTAGATAGCTGTATATTTTTTTCTGTTTTCATGTGGTGGCGGATTTGTGTTATAGTGGCAATAAGTATAAATAATCGATATTTGTATTTTTTAAATTATTTTCTTATTCTTAATTACGATTCCCTGGCTAGTTCGAAAGGATTAGAGAAGGGGGTATTAAAGTAAGGTCACGGGGGTCGGGGATCCCACAGGGTTAGGGATAAGATGGGGTCGGGGATCACAAGGGGTCGTAGTATACTGGTGCTTTCATAACTTTGTTTTAAAAAAATGACGGAGGTTTGTCACGTTTCTTACATTGGAACGTGACGTCAGAGCATTGGTAGGCTTTAGCCACGGGCTCGATGTAGAGTTCCGTGAGATGCTTCATGAGGTCCAAGTGCTCCAGGAGGCAGCCCTCTGATACTGTAGTAGTAGCTTCGTCTACACACGTGCGATAATTGGGCAACTCACTGGGGAGCAAGAGCTTAACTTATTAGTTTATTAAGGCTTATATATATATATAAATATATATATAAATATATATATAAATATATATATATATATATATATATATATATATATATATATATATATATATATATATATATATATATATATAACATACTACGACATAGATTTGATGAGACATTTTGAATGAGACAAGACAGGTTGACATATATTGGATGACATTTGACAGATAATTAGACAACTTACATTGGCTGACAGACGACGCTGAGCATGCAAACATATGACAGGAGTCAGAACTCACCTGCATACATCACTTTCAGCCGCTGTGTTGATGATAGATTCACATTTTTGAACTGCGCTCATCAGAGGGGGGTAGGAAAAACATTCGAAACTTCGTCTGTAATCTGAAACACATACAAAATATTTAAATTAGAACTGCCTTCTTTAGCGGGGGTATGAAAAACATTCGAAACGTCTGAGGGTTACAATACCAACAAAATATTTAAATAAAAACTGCTTGCGTCGATATTTAAATTATTTAGCACTTCTGGCGGGTGTATTTTTTAGAGTAAAAATTGGTGTTTTTAAGGGACTGGATGGATATTTGTGACGTCAATTTTTGGGTCTAATTTACTGATACGACTTGTGTGTAAAATATTGCCATTGAAACATTTTTATTGGCTGACTTAATTAAACTGTATCACACGAACATCAGGTCACTAAAGCACCCAGTCATGTTGGGGTTAATTAGTGCTCTGTAGTTAGAGCCAGGGCTAATAAGCCAACTGGGCTTATGTCAGGATTGTTAGGCCCACGGTGTCAGGATTGTTAGGCCTACGGTGTCAGGATTGTTAGGCCCACGGTGTCAGGATTGTTAGGCCCACGGTGTCAGGATTGTTAGGCCCACGGTGTCAGGATTGTTAGGCCTACGGTGTCAGGATTGTTAGGCCCACGGTGTCAGGATTGTTAGGCCTACGGTGTCAGGATTGTTAGGCCCACGGTGTCAGGATTGTTAGGCCCACGGTGTCAGGATTGTTAGGCCTACGGTGTCAGGATTGTTAGGCCCGCGGTGTCAGGATTGTTAGGCCTACGGTATCAGGATTGTTAGGCCTACGGTGTCAGGATTGTTAACCCACGGTGTCAGGATTGTTAGGCCCACGGTGTCAGGATTGTTAGGCCCGCGGTGTCAGGATTGTTAGGCCTACGGTGTCAGGATTGTTAACCCACGGTGTCAGGATTGTTAGGCCCACGGTGTCAGGATTGTTAGGCCTACGGTGTCAGGATTGTTAACCCACGGTGTCAGGATTGTTAGGCCTACGGTGTCAGGATTGTTAGGCCCACGGTGTCAGGATTGTTAGGCCTACGGTGTCAGGATTGTTAGGCACGCGGTGTCAGGATTGTTAGGCACACGGTGTCAGGATTGTTAGGCACACGGTGTCAGGATTGTTAGGCCTACGGTGTCAGGATTGTTAGGCCCGCGGTGTCAGGATTGTTAGGCCTACGGTGTCAGGATTGTTAGGCCCACGGTGTCAGGATTGTTAGGCCCACGGTGTCAGGATTGTTAGGCCCACGGTGTCAGGATTGTTAACCCGCGGGACTGAAGTCAGGATTGGTTAATGAGCCTACTGTTGGGTCAGTGTTTACCTTCTCTGCCCACAGAACAGATGTGCTTGACCACGCCCCACTGGACACTGAAGCTGAGAATGTCTTTGTCTGAACATCCACCGGCGACCTCAGGTTTATACACACAACTTAAGGCTTCAGACAGTTCACTGAAACACAGGACAAGTATAGGACATCCATAGGACATGCATAGGACATACATAGGACAAGCATAGGACATACATAGGACAAGTATAGGACATACATAGGACAAGTATAGGACATACATAGGACAAGTATAGGACATACATAGGACAAGTATAGGACATACATAGGACATCCATAGGACAAGTATAGGACATACATAGGACAAGTATAGGACATACATAGGACAAGTATAGGACATACATAGGACTAGTATAGGACACACAACTCAAGGCTTCTGACAGTTCACTGAAACACAGGACAAGTATAGGACGTACATAGGACGTACATAGGACATACATAGGACATACATAGGAAAGTATAGGACATACATAGGACAAGTATAGGACATACATAGGAAAGTATAGGACATACATAGGACAAGTATAGGACATGCATAGGACATACATAGGACAAGCATAGGACATATATATTACACACAACTCAAGGCTTCATACAGTTCACTGAAACACAGGACAAGTATAGGACATACATAGGACATACATAGGACATACATAGGACACACAACTATAGGCTTCTGACAGTTCACTGAAACACAGGACAAGTATAGGACGTACATAGGACATACATAGGACATACATATGACAAGTATAGGACATACATAGGACATACATAGGACATACATAGGACAAGTATAGGACATACATAGGACATACATAGGACATGCATAGGACATACATAGGACATACATAGGACAAGTATAGGACATACATAGGACATACATAGGACATGCATAGGACATACATAGGACATACATAGGACATACATAGAACTAGTGTAGGACATACAACTCAAGGCTTCAGACACTTCACTGAAACACAGGACAAATAATCAAACACAGGACAAGCATAGGACACATATAGGACAAGTACTGAAACACAGGACAAATGCTGTAAAACAGGACAAACAGCAAAATGTAACAATATGAGTAGATTATGGTGGTCTGTTTGGGGGTCATACTTGGTGTTGTTTTATGTTCATCAGGAAATATTTTTATGTCCACAACTCTCCAGTAGCGTAGCGAGGGGGGGGGGGGGGGGGGCGGGGGACATATGTCCCCGGGCGCCGACCTTAGGGGGCGCCAAAATGGGTTGGAAAAATAAATTGAAAGTTTGAGGGGGGGGGGTGCAAAAGGAAATCTCGAGGGGGGGGGGGTGCAAATCGAAAGTTTGAGGGGGGGGGTGCAAATGGAAATCTCGAGGAGGGGGGGTGCAAATCGAAAAGTTTGTCCCCGGGCGCCGGGAGGGTCGCTACGCCTCTGCAACTCTCTCCCAAATTAATTACCTGTATGCCCTCAACCCTCCCCCAAATTAATTACCTGTATGCCCTCAACCCTCCCCCAAATTAATTACCTGTATGTCCTCAACCCTCCCCCAAATTAATTACCTGTATGCCCTCAACTCTCTCCCAAATTAATTAACTGCATGGCTAATCAAATCGCAACCAATTACCTGCATGTTCGGTTGAGCAGCCTTTGAGCAATAAACCCGTGAAATTTGCTTTCTCTGATCTGATCGTAATGATTACATCCTTGTACCTGCAGCATATCGCAACAGAACCCGGTTCGAATCCACACAAGAACTGAAGGACACAATAGAGATACATTATGAATGTTTGCAAAATCTTTAAAAATCTTTTAAAGATATAAATTGAAATCGCTCTTCAATAGTTCAATTAAAAACTTTCAACATGCACAAAAACTTTATTCTAAATTATTTTTAAATGTAACAAATATAAAAAAAAAAAACTTTTAGAAATCATTCAGGCGAAACGCGTGTACAACCAATTTATACATCTATACTACAAGCAATCTAAGAAAATCACAATCTCTACACGAATGAGATCTTCCCTCACAATCTCTACACAAATGTCATATTTTCTCACAATCCAAACACAAATGACATATTTATCAAAATCCGTCAATAAATGCCATCCCTACCCCAATTAATTGAAAACTAACGATTTTGGCAACCACAATCAACACTAAAGCTAGTGACATGTGCCACAACACAAATAAAAAGCCAGAATATATCTATTCTACAACGGAAACAAAAAGCCATAATTTATGTGCTACAACGGAAACAAAAAGCCATAATTTATGTGCTACAACAGAAACAAAAAGCCATAATTTATGTCCTACAACGGAAACAAAAAGCCATAATTTATGTGCTACAACGGAAACAAAAAGCCATAATTTATGTGCCAAACTTACTGGAAAAAACAAAGCCAAGAAACGTAGCATCCATGGTGTAGATTGGAGCGGATGGAGATCACAGGCTGAACTCAGTCGTTGTGGTGGGCACGGACGTACAGCCGACGCTTATATCAAATCTTCTCAAGTGGATCTTCCACTCAAGTTGGTGGATCTTCCACTCAAGTGGGTGGCAAAGGTTGGCCAATCTCCGTCTTTTTGTGCTGGTGGCAGTGCTCATTGGTGTCACTGATGGTGTCATTGGTCACGGATGTCACTGGTGGTGTCATTGGTCACGGATGTCACTGGTGGTGTCATTGGTCACGGATGTCACTGGTGGTGTCACTGGTCACGGATGTCACTGATGGTGTCAGTGGTCGGAGCTGGGGGTCTGTGGTTTGGGCAGTGGTCAATCCTTTTCTAATCATGTGCAGCGTCCCTAAGCCCACCCATGTTCAGCACCCCTATGTCCACTCATGTATAATGTCCCTAAGCCCACCCATGTTCAGCGCCCCTAAGCCCACCCATGTTCAGCACCCCTATGTCCACTCATGTATAATGTCCCTAAGCCCACCCATGTTCAGCACCCCTATGTCCACTCATGTATAATGTCCCTAAGCCCACCCATGTTTAGCACCCCTATGTCCACTCATGTATAATGTCCCTAAGCCCACCCATGTTCAGCACCCCTATGTCCACTCATGTATAATGCCCCAATGCCCACCCATGGGCAGCGCTTCTATGCCCATCCATATGTAACGCCAAAAATACCGTGTTTCCTTCTTCCCCAAACTCCTACAAATACTTTTTAAATTGTAAAAACACATATCGTGTTTTAAATCTGATGGACTTGAAGTTTCTGAGGAAGTTTCAAGCTGTCAACTTCAGAAGATTGTGGCTACGTGTTTAGGGCAGTCTTGGTTGATGGACTGACATGTCTACCATGTTTTATTCCACAGTGGCATCCAAGTACTTTACTGTCCGCCTCATAAATAACTTTACCTAGCAAAAGAAAATCTGCAAGTCAATTCTTTGAAAATTGTTGGTCGTGATTTCATGTTTTGCCTCCCACCCCCTCACCCTTTTTTTCCCGCTAATCACATTAGCTCAGGCTATGACCGAGTCAGTGACTTCATTCTAATTTACAATCTGTGCTTTAAGAATTACATTTAACTTAATTGTAATGACCGACAAGGCCTTGAACTTCCTATCCCAGCGACATTACTCAACAGAGTGAAGTACTCCCCCACTTAACCCCTGAGGTCTGATTCTAAAGTCTCCGACATCTTATCTTTTGTTTCATCGGTTTTCTATTCTAAAACCTTCGAATGGTCTGATATAAGGGGTAATCCTGTTGTATTTTGGTCTGATATAAGGGGTAATCCTGTTGTATTTTGGTCTGATATAAGGGGTAATCCTGTTGTATTTTGGTCTGATATAAGGGATAATCCTGTTGTATTTTGGTCCCGGGATAATCCTGTTGGTCCCGGGATAATCCTGTTGGTCCCGGGATAATCCTGTTGGTCCCGGGATAATCCTGTTGGTCCCGGGATAATCCTGTTGGTCCCGGGATAATCCTGTTGGTCCCGGGATAATCCTGTTGGTCCCGGGATAATCCTGTTGGTCCCGGGATAATCCTGTTGGTCCCGGGATAATCCTGTTGGTCCCGGGATAATCCTGTTGGTCCCGGGATAATCCTGTTGGTCCCGGGATAATCCTGTTGGTCCCGGGATAATCCTGTTGGTCCCGGGATAATCCTGTTGGTCCCGGGATAATCCTGTTGGTCCCGGGATAATCCTGTTGGCCCCGGGATAATCCTGTTGGTCCCGGGATAATCCTGTTGGTCCCGGGATAATCCTGTTGGTCCCGGGATAATCCTGTTGGTCCCGGGATAATCCTGTTGGTCCCGGGATAATCCTGTTGGTCCCGGGATAATCCTGTTGGTCCCGGGATAATCCTGTTGGTCCCGGGATAATCCTGTTGGTCCCGGGATAATCCTGTTGGTCCCGGGATAATCCTGTTGGTCCCGGGATAATCCTGTTGGTCCCGGGATAATCCTGTTGGTCCCGGGATAATCCTGTTGGTCCCGGGATAATCCTGTTGGTCCCGGGATAATCCTGTTGGTCCCGGGATAATCCTGTTGGTCCCGGGATAGTCATATGGTGCCTTTGCAGCGGAAGGGGGGGGGGTAGTCTTGTGGTCCATTGGTACGGGGGGGGGGTAGTCTTGTGGTCCTTTGGTACGGGGGGGGGTAGTCTTGTGGTCCTTTGGTACGGGGGGGGGGGGGGTAGTCTTGTGGTCCTTTGGTACGGGGGGGGGGGTAGTCTTGTGGTCCTTTGGTACGGGGGGGGGGGGTAGTCTTGTGGTCCTTTGGTACGGGGGGGGTAGTCTTGTGGTCCTTTGGTACGGGGGGGTAGTCTTGTGGTCCTTTGGTACGGGGGGGGGGGGGTAGTCTTGTGGTCCTTTGGTACGGGGGGGGGTAGTCTTGTGGTCCATTGGTACGGGGGGTAGCCTTGTGGTCCATTGGTACGGGGGGGGGGGTAGTCTTGTGGTCCATTGGTACGGGGGGTAGCCTTGTGGTCCATTGGTACGGGGGGGGGAGTCTTGTGGTCCATTGGTACGGGGGGGGGGTAGTCTTGTGGTCCTTTGGTACGGGGGGGTAGTCTTGTGGTCCTTTGGTACGGGGGGGTAGTCTTGTGGTCCTTTGGTACGGGGGGGTAGTCTTGTGGTCCTTTGGTACGGGGGGGGGTAGTCTTGTGGTCCTTTGGTACGGGGGGGTAGTCTTGTGGTCCTTTGGTACGGGGGGGGGGGTAGTCTTGTGGTCCTTTGGTACGGGGGGGGGTAGTCTTGTGGTCCTTTGGTACGGGGGGGGGGTAGTCTTGTGGTCCTTTGGTACGGGGGGGTAGTCTTGTGGTCCATTGGTACGGGGGGGTAGCCTTGTGGTCCATTGGTACGGGGGGGGGGGTAGACTTGTGGTCCATTGGTACGGGGGGGGGGTAGTCTTGTGGTCCATTGGTACGGGGGGGGGGAGTCTTGTGGACCATTGGTACGGGGGGGTAGTCTTGTGGACCATTGGTACGGGGGGGTAGTCTTGTGGTCCATTGGTACGGGGGGGGGGTAGTCTTGTGGTCCATTGGTACGGGGGGTAGTCTTGTGGTCCATTGGTACGGGGGGGTAGTCTTGTGGACCATTGGTACGGGGGGTAGTCTTGTGGTCCATTGGTACGGGGGGGGTAGTCTTGTGGACCATTGGTACGGGGGGTAGTCTTGTGGTCCATTGGTACGGGGGGGGGGTAGTCTTGTGGACCATTGGTACGGGGGGGGGTAGTCTTGTGGTCCATTGGTACGGGGGGGGGTAGTCTTGTGGTCCATTGGTACGGGGGGGGGGGAGTCTTGTGGACCATTGGTACGGGGGGGGGTAGTCTTGTGGACCATTGGTACGGGGGGGTAGTCTTGTGGTCCATTGGTACGGGGGGGGGGTAGTCTTGTGGTCCATTGGTACGGGGGGTAGTCTTGTGGTCCATTGGTACGGGGGGGGGGGGTAGTCTTGTGGACCATTGGTACGGGGGGTAGTCTTGTGGTCCATTGGTACGGGGGGGGGTAGTCTTGTGGACCATTGGTACGGGGGGTAGTCTTGTGGTCCATTGGTACGGGGGGGGGGTAGTCTTGTGGACCATTGGTACGGGGGGGGGTAGCCTTGTGGTCCATTGGTACGGGGGGGGGGGGTAGCCTTGTGGTCCATTGGTACGGGGGGTAGTCTTGTGGTCCTTTGGTACGGGGGGGGTAGTCTTGTGGACCATTGGTACGGGGGGGGGTAGCCTTGTGGTCCATTGGTACGGGGGGGTAGCCTTGTGGTCCATTGGTACGGGGGGTAGTCTTGTGGTCCATTGGTACGGGGGGTAGCCTTGTGGTCCATTGGTACGGGGGGTAGTCTTGTGGTCCATTGGTACGGGGGGGGGGGGTAGCCTTGTGGTCCATTGGTACGGGGGGGGTAGTCTTGTGGTCCATTGGTACGGGGGGGTAGTCTTGTGGTCCATTGGTACGGGGGGGGTAGTCTTGTGGTCCATTGGTACGGGGGGTAGTCTTGTGGTCCATTGGTACGGGGGGGTAGCCTTGTGGTCCATTGGTACGGGGGGGGTAGTCTTGTGGTCCATTGGTACGGGGGGTAGTCTTGTGGTCCATTGGTACGGGGGGTAGTCTTGTGGTCCATTGGTACGGGGGGGGGTAGCCTTGTGGTCCATTGGTACGGGGGGTAGTCTTGTGGTCCATTGGTACGGGGGGGTAGTCTTGTGGTCCATTGGTACGGGGGGTAGTCTTGTGGTCCATTGGTACGGGGGGTAGTCTTGTGGTCGATTGGTACCGGGTATATCACTAGTTGTACCATGTCTGAGGACTTTAAAGTTCACACAGTCCCATCTAACAGGACTTCCCCATTGTCCTAAGAGGACTTCCCCATAGTCCTATCTATCTGACGATCATCACGAAGAGCTTCAATCAATGTGTATTTACAAGTGAGTAATTTAGCCGGACAGTCCCCGCCACTACAACAAAAATGAACAAACCCACGGATCATTTAGGACATTACAACCTCTCGACCAATCGTTTGACGCAGAAATTCGATGACTCGCGACACTTTTGACGTCATTTCCGTGCTGCAGTGGGAACTACTAGATTCAAACTTCCTTTACAGTAACAATGACAAGATATTTTGTATGTTACTGACATGAATAGGGATGTTTTGTATGTTACTGACATATGTAGGCATGTTTTTTTTTTTTGTACTGACATTGGTTAGGATGTTTTGTATTGTAGTGACATCAATGTAGGGATGTTTTGTATTGTATTGACATCCTCCATATTGTGATTAATTTTGATGCAGCTCAAAGTTTACCTCCGTGTTTACATGTGCACACCACACCAACCGTAGGGCTGACTTCCCCACACTACGCCACATTACAAGTGGGGCTGACCCCCCCCCCCCACACACCACACGTGGGGCTGACCCCACCACACCACACGTGGGACTGACCCCACCACACCACACGTGGGACTGACCCCACCACACCACACGTGGGGCTGACCACCCCCCCCCCCACACCACACGTGGGGCTGACCCCACCACACCACACGTGGGGCTGACCCCACCACACCACACGTGGGGCTGACCCCACCACACCACACGTGGGGCTGACCCCACCACACCACACGTGGGACTGACCACCCCACACCACACGTGGGGCTGACCACCCCACACCACACGTGGGACTGACCCCACCACACCACACGTGGGGCTGACCACCCCACACCACACGTGGGACTGACCCCACCACACCACACGTGGGACTGACCCCCCCCCCCCCCCACACCACACGTTGGACTGACCCCACCACACCACAAGTGGGGCTGACCTGAACGAATGTCGTCCACTCTGATAGAAACCTACATATAGGGTCAGTAGCGTCTTTTAAACATTTTGTACACCTGACAAATTTTTTTTTACCCGGCGACTATTGTATTTCGGTGGTAGTCGTTATTACTAAAACGAATAATAAAAAACGTACCTATAAAAAAAATATGTTCCCGCGAACCGGATTCGAACCAGTGACCTAAGGATAGCTTCTTTCATCTACAGTCCTCCGCTCTACCAACTGAGCTATCGCGGGTCATACTTACTTAGGGGATTGTATCATATTACCATCAAAACCTAGATCCAGTGTAGGTAGGTCCATGAAACAACTTCATTTGCCCCAAGCAAGAAATTTTCTATCGATCTCAATGACCGCCATGAGAGTAAGGCCAGCTTCATACGTGGATGTGTATTTATTTCAGTCGTTCAATTGTTTTTTACATCAACAGTAGGACTGAGAAATGGAAGCAGACAAACAAAGACAAACATTCTAACAATCTAGGGTCTGACTCAACAAAACTTTCATCTGATCAGCATTAGTTGTCTGCTTCTGTTTAGTGATTATCTCGCTGATCTAATTAATTACCATCTAATTCCAACTCTCTAACTTAATTCGTTATCTACATTACAGCAGAGGTTTTGATTAGTTTTGCTATTGGATCAAAATAAAAAAGAGTAACAAAAAAAAGTTCCCGCGAACCGGATTCGAACCAGTGACCTAAGGATGGCAATATAACAACTACAGTCCTCCGCTCTACCAACTGAGCTATCGCGGGAGATGTTACAAGCGTGCAATATGTTGAAGATGTGAATACGAAGATGATGAACCAGTGGGTACATTTAGACAAAAAATAACAGACCATCTACAGATCTAGTTGCCTGTATCACACACGGAGGGCACTGTCAGTCACAAGTTAGTTGACTGCAGGGGCGGAACTACAGTGCCGCCAGACCCCGCAATGCGGGGGGGCCCACGCCATTTAGGGGCCCAGAGCCAACCATAATAAATTTTTTTATAGTTAAAAAAAAAGTAAATTTTCTTTCATTTTTGACTTGATAGTTGTTTTGTAAAAAATTACCGTAGCTGCGGTTGGATTATCTTTATTCTATAGACACCACCCCACACTCTTGTATCTTCTTTTTCCCTTTGTTTTTAAACAACTTTGAAAGCCGAGTCTTTCATCTACAATTAAACGTATCAAAGATAAGCAAATGTTCAAACCATGACTTATTTCCCTTTTTAAAAAATAGTCAAATAGGGGTGATCATAAGCACGATTTAATAGATTTGTACTAAACAAATTAAAAAGCAATTACTTCTCTTAATTATTATTTTTTTAATAAGTAATTACTAAAGAATGATAATGTATAAAAAGGAAATGTATTGAGATGTATTAAATCAATAATATTTAGAAAATTAATAATATAACTACAAAAAAAATAATAATAAACATAACACGAGACACCATTACTTATACAAAGCTTTCATGTTTTATATTATTTTGACCGACGAGTTTCTACGAGGGCTTCTATTAAAAATTAATTAACACTGGTTTTTCACAAAACACGCTAATGCACTTACACACATGACATGATGTTGAACATTTTTTAAATTGATGTTTTTTTCAAATTTCGAACAGGACAGCAACGAGTATCCTATGTTCGTATTATGTTATTGTATATATATATATATATATATATATATATATATATATATATATATATATATATATATATATATATATATATATATATATATATATATATATATATATATATATATATATATATATATATATATATATATATATGGGGGGCCTAAAAAAAATTTTTGCGGGGTGGCCCTTTTTTTCTTGTTCCGCCACTGGTTGACTGACCCTGTTACATATTGTTAGTGTAACATATTGCTAGTGTAACATATTGTTAGTGTAACATATAGTTAGTGTAACATATTGTATGTGTGTGTTATGTGTTAACGACATTTCTCCCCAACTAATGGTAGATAATAATATCAAATGATTCACGTGTAAGATGCCATTAAGTCTAACACGATACATAACATTTATATGTTTTAAATACTTAAAACTATGAGATTTCTGATTATATCTAACACACATTGTAGATACCTAAAACATAAGATATCGGATTAGATCTAACACACACCACACAAAGATGCGTATTTTATGAGGGTGTGTACGTCTTATTACACTTGTGTTTACAAGTTGTGTGTAGGGGGGGGGGGGGGGGTCTTTCTCTCAGTTGGGTACTTGAAACAAAATGTGTTAAGTGAATTTTAAGTTGTCTGCCCATTACAAGTATTTCCTGTAAGTAACTGCTCGAGTTACTTATGAACGTTTCAACACAAACATAAAATATAGGGCCTAGTTATAACACAAACATAAAATATAGGGCCTAGTTATAACACAAACATAAAATATAGGGCCTAGTTATAACACAAACATAAAATATAGGGTCTAGTTATAACACAAACATAAAATATAGGGCCTAGTTATAACACAAACATAAAATATAGGGTCTAGTTATAACACAAACATAAAATATAGGGCCTAGTTATAACACAAACATAAAATATAGGGTCTAGTTATAACACAAACATAAAATATAGGGCCTAGTTATAACACAAACATAAAATATAGGGCCTAGTTATAACACAAACATAAAATATAGGGCCCACTTATAACACAAACATAAAATATAGGGTCTAGTTATAACACAAACATAAAATATAGGGCCTAGTTATAACACAAACATAAAATATAGGGCCTCCGAAATAACTAAATCACGCACAACAAAACTTTTAAAACGTAGATCTACTTATAACACAAATATATAGAATCTAAGTTAGATGGATTACAATGTACTTATAAGACAAGAACTAAATGTAACTATTATACAAAACATCCAGATGTAAAGACACACAGGTACCTCTACGCAGACTTTGACTTAAACATTGAAGTCACCCAAGTGTAACTTCTACTAATTAATTACTTTGATGCGTATGATTGAAGAAAGAGAGGCGACATCAACTTCGACTTCGTAAAACAATACGTTTCATTCTTTAAATTTTCTAAGCGCATGCGATTAAAATGGGATAATAATTAGACTTTAAAATGGTTAATGAATCACACAATCACATTATATTATTTTAAACAAAAACGAGATTGACAACAGTTGAGAAATGAATGTTGTCACAATTTTGTTTTGGTTGAGACAGTATTTTTAGACTTAGACTAGAAATGTAGACGCGATCATGTTAAAAAAACATAATGTTTCGCAAAACAAAGAAAAAATATTTACGTTTTAATCACGATAATTTTTAATAGAGTTTACAGCGTTTTCTGTTTGATTATTCTGGGAAATATTTCGTTTTTGAAAACCACTTAGAAATGTAGAAATTTAAAAGTCGGCAATAATAGTTTCAGTTTGATCAGCCCACTCAGCACACGTCGCGCACTGGCTGGCTTTACTGGGCCGCATCGGCTACATCGTTAGCTTGGCACAGTTTGCATGGCCCGCGATAGCTCAGTTGGTAGAGCGGAGGACTGTAGTTGTTAAAAGCGATCCTTAGGTCACTGGTTCGAATCCGGTTCGCGGGAACTTTTTTCTTGCATTTTCTTAAAATGTTTTACAACCTTCAACTAAAATTAATAATTAAATGTTTAGAATAATTATTTCACATCATTTTAGTAACCATTCCAAGAAACAATTTAATTATTGTCCCGTTTCTTTCTAATTTAAGAAACCTTTAACTAAAGCGTAAGAATAAAAAGTTAAAAAAACTGAGCGACGCCCTAATTAATTATGCAAATTATTTGACAATCTACATCTGACACGTAGAGCGGCACCTAGTATTGTAGGTGATTCATTAGTTTCAAGTGGCGTTAAGATTTTCCTAAAACCCCATTCCAACAAAACTTTCCAAGTGCCACTTGAGGTAAACCAAGTCAACACGGATAAGCTCCCTTGCTTTTTGTTTTATTTGTTGTCTCCCTTACATAGAGCTGTTACAAGCAGGACCGCGGATATCTTCTGCTAACTTCACCTAAACCTCCCCGCCCACATCTCCACATCACCACACCTCATTCATCGACCCCTAAGTCAACTATCAGCATTAGAAAGGGGTGGGTGTGGGGGGGGGGGGGCTTTAGTGGTATGACGACGACTGTTGTTAAAGTGTTGTATCTTTGTCACCTACATCAGCACATTATAATTTCCTCAGCTAACTTACATTTTTGTTTATTTGAACCTTCATTCAGCCACTAAAAACTTTTTGTTTATTTGAAACTTCTCAAGGTGTGATCATTCAGCCACTAAAGCAACTCCACTCTGAAATGACAACTTATAGTCATGACGCTGGTCTAGTTCAGATGTCATCAGTCAGATGTCAACAGTCAGATGTGACCAGTCAAATGTCACCAGTCAGATGTCACCAGTCAGATGTCATCAGTCAGATGTCACCAGTCAGATGTCACCAGTCAGATGTCACCAGTCAGATGTCATCAGTCAGATGTCACCAGTCAGATGTCACCAGTCAGATGTCACCAGTCAGATGTCATCAGTCAGATGTCATCAGTCAGCTGTCACCAGTCAGATGTCATCAGTCAGATGTCATCAGTCAGCTGTCATCAGTCAGCTGTCATCAGTCAGCTGTCACCAGTCAGATGTCACCAGCCAGATGTCATCAGTCAGATGTCATCTGTCAGCTGTCATCAGTCAGCTGTCACCAGTCAGATGTCACCAGCCAGATGTCATCAGCCAGATGTCACCAGTCAGATGTCATCAGTCAGCTGTCATCAGTCAGCTGTCACCAGTCAGATGTCACCAGCCAGATGTCATCAGTCAGATGTCAGCTGTCATCAGTCAGCTGTCACCAGTCAGATGTCACCAGCCAGATGTCATCAGCCAGATGTCACCAGTCAGCTGTCACCAGTCAGATGTCATCAGTCAGATGTCACCATTCAGATGTCACCAGTCAGCTGTCACCAGTCAGATGTCATCAGTCAGCTGTCATCAGTCAGATGTCACCAGTCAGATGTCACCAGCCAGATGTCATCAGTCAGATGTCACCAGTCAGATGTCACCAGTCAGATGTCACCAGCCAGATGTCATCAGTCAGATGTCATCAGTCAAACCCAGCCTAAAGCTCGATAAGTTTTTTTTTCAAATTGTTTATTTCAAACACATTTATAACGAATGTGTGAACTGTTGAACTCAACAAAATAAAGAGAATGAAATTGCGAATTTTAATACCAATAAATGTGCGTATTAATTTCTGATAGGAATTTATCTTTTAAAACGAGATTGTAATTATCCCGCGATAGCTCAGTTGGTAGAGCGGAGGACTGTAGATGGATGAAGCTATCCTTAGGTCACTGGTTCGAATCCGGTTCGCGGGAACTTTATTTTTTCCTGTGCATTACTTTTGAAAAATAAAATTATACCTTTCGTTTAATTTTACCATGAGTATAAAATGTGAGTGCGTGTGTGTCTATCCTTGTTTGTGTGTGTGTGTCTGTGTTGTGCTCTCTGTTGTCGAGTGTGAGCTTGAGTGTGCAGAACAAATGTGTAGCCTGTATGTGTGTAGGTAGCGTGTAGTCTGTATGTTTGTAGGTAGCGTGTAGTCTGTATGTGTGTAGGTAGCGTGTAGTCTGTATGTTTGTAGGTAGCGTGTAGTCTGTATGTGTGTAGGTAGCGTGTAGTCTGTATGTGTGTAGGTAGCGTGTAGTCTGTATGTGTGTAGGTAGCGTGTAGTCTGTATGTGTGTAGGTAGCGTGTAGTCTGTATGTGTGTAGGTAGCGTGTAGTCTGTATGTTTGTAGGTAGCGTGTAGTCTGTATGTGTGTAGGTAGCGTGTAGTCTGTATGTGTGTAGGTAGCGTGTAGTCTGTATGTGTGTAGGTAGCGTGTAGTCTGTATGTGTGTAGGTAGCGTGTAGTCTGTATGTGTGTAGGTAGCGTGTAGCCTGTATGTGTGTAGGTAGCGTGCAGCCTGTATGTATGTAGCCTGTATGTGTGTAGGTAGCGTGTAGTCTGTATGTGTGTAGGTAGCGTGTAGCCTGTATGTGTGTAGGTAGCGTGCAGCCTGTATGTATGTAGCCTGTATGTGTGTAGGTAGCGTGTAGTCTGTATATGTGTAGGTAGCGTGTAGCCTGTATGTGTGTAGGTAGCGTGCAGCCTGTATGTATGTAGCCTGTATGTGTGTAGGTAATGTGTAGCCTGTATGTATGTAGCCTGTATGTGTGTAGGTAGCGTGCAGCCTGTATGTATGTAGCCTGTATGTGTGTAGGTAGTGTGTAGCCTGTATGTATGTAGCCTGTATGTGTGTAGGTAGCGTGCAGCCTGTATGTATGTAGCCTGTATGTGTGTAGGTAGTGTGTAGCCTGTATGTATGTAGCCTGTATGTGTGTGTCGAGTGTGTAGCCTGTATGTGTGTGTCGAGTGTGTAGCCTGTATGTGTGTGTCGAGTGTGTAGCCTGTATGTGTGTGTCGAGTGTGTAGCCTGTATGTGTGTGTCGAGTGTGTAGCCTGTATGTGTGTGTCGAGTGTGTAGCCTGTATGTGTGTGTCGAGTGTGTAGACTGTATGTGTGTGTCGAGTGTGTAGCCTGTATGTGTGTGTCGAGTGTGTAGCCTGTATGTGTGTGTCGAGTGTGTAGCCTGTATGTGTGTGTCGAGTGTGTAGCCTGTATGTGTGGAGCATGTATGTGTAAGCAATGCCCCCACCCCGCCACTCGAGAGTCGAGCTATCAGGTACCACATCTTCCCATCCGATGATGTGTCTGGGATGATGTTGGCGTCACTTCACCCCTGTTGTAGGCAATTGTCCACTTGACGTCAAGATGTTATCCGTCAACAACCGTCTGTCGGTCAGACGTGTGTCTGTCACTCACGTGCACACAACAACAGGATGCTGGTACACCGGACATGACCTCTGACCTACCATCCTCACGGACCAACAAGAGGACACACCTGACCAAAGTAGACGACCCCCCCACACACACACACCTGACCAAAGTAGACGACCCCCCCCCCACACACACCTGACCAAAGTAGACGACCCCCCCCCACACACACCTGACCAAAGTAGACGACCCCCCCCCCCCCACACACACACTGACCCATGCACCTGACCAAAGTAGACGACACCCCCACACACACACCTGACCAAAGTAGGCGACCCCCCCCCCCACACACACACCTGACCAAAGTAGACGACCCCCCCCCCACACACACTGACCCATGCACTTGACCAAAGTAGACGACCCCCCCCCCACACACACACCTGACCAAAGTAGACGACCCCCCCCCCACACACACACCTGACCAAAGTAGACGACCCCCCCCACACACACACACACTGACCCATGCACCTGACCAAAGTAGACGACACCCCCACACACACACCTGACCAAAGTAGACGACCCCCCCCCCCACACACACTGACCCATGCACTTGACCAAAGTAGACGACCCCCCCCCCCCCCCCCACACACACACCTGACCAAAGTAGGCGACCCCCCCCCCCACACACACACCTGACCAAAGTAGACGACCCCCCCCCCCACACACACTGACCCATGCACTTGACCAAAGTAGACGACCCCCCCCCCCCCCACACACACACACACCTGACCAAAGTAGGCGACCCCCCCCCCCCCCACACACACACCTGACCAAAGTAGACGACCCCCCACACACACACACTGACCCATGCACCTGACAAAAGTAGACGACACCCCCACACACACACACTGACCCATGCACCTGACCAAAGTAGGCGACCCCCCCACACACACACCTGACCAAAGTAGACGACCCCCCACACACACACACTGACCCATGCACCTGACAAAAGTAGACGACCCCCCACACACACACACACACTGACCCATGCACCTGACCAAAGTAGACGACCCCCCCACACACACACACTGACCCATGCACCTGACCAAAGTAGACGACCCCCCCCCCACACACACACCTGACAAAAGTAGACGACCCCCCCCCACACACACACACTGACCCATGCACCTGACCAAAGTAGACGACCCCCCCACACACACCTGACCAAAGTAGACGACCCCCCCACACACACCTGACCAAAGTAGACGACCCCCCCCCCACACACACACTGACCCATGCACCTGACCAAAGTAGACGACCCCCCCACACACACTGACCCATGCACCTGACCAAAGTAGACGACCCCCCCACACACACACACTGACCCATGCACCTGACCAAAGTAGACGACCCCCCACACACACCTGACCAAAGTAGACGACCCCCCCACACACACACACTGACCCATGCACCTGACAAAAGTAGACGACCCCCCCCCACACACACACACACTGACCCATGCACCTGACCAAAGTAGACGACCCCCCACACACACACACACTGACCCATGCACCTGACCAAAGTAGACGACCCCCCCCCCCACACACACACACACACTGACCCATGCACCTGACCAAAGTAGACGATCCCCCCCCACACACACACTGACCCATGCACCTGACCAAAGTAGACGACCCCCCCCCCCACACACACACACTGACCCATGCACCTGACCAAAGTAGACGACCCCCCCCCACACACACACTGACCCATGCACCTGACCAAAGTAGACGACCCCCCCCCCCCCACACACACACACACTGACCCATGCACCTGACCAAAGTAGACGACCCCCCCACACACACACACTGACCCATGCACCTGACTAAAGTAGACGACCCCCCCCCCCACACACACTGACCCATGCACCTGACCAAAGTAGACGACCCCCCCCCACACACACACACACTGACCCATGCACCTGACCAAAGTAGACGACCCCCCCACACACACACACTGACCCATGCACCTGACCAAAGTAGACGACCCCCCCACACACACACACTGACCCATGCACCTGACCAAAGTAGACGACCCCCCCCCACACACACACACACTGACCCATGCACCTGACCAAAGTAGACGACCCCCCCACACACACACACTGACCCATGCACCTGACCAAATTAGACGACCCCCACACACACCTGACCAAAGTAGACGACCCCCCCCCCACACACACACACACTGACCCATGCACCTGACCAAAGTAGACGACCCCCCCACACACACACACTGACCAAAGTAGACGACCCCCCCCCACACACACACCTGACCAAAGTAGACGACCCCCACACACACACACCTGACAAAAGTAGACAACCCACCCACACACACCTGACCAAAGTAGACGACCCCCCCCCACACACACTGACCCATGCACCTGACCAAATTAGACGACCCCCCACACACACACTGACCCATGCACCTGACCAAATTAGACGACCCCCCACACACACACTGACCCATGCACCTGACCAAATTAGACGACCCCCACACACACACTGACCCATGCACCTGACCAAATTAGACGACCCCCCCCCCCCCCCACACACACACTGACCCATGCACTTGACCAAAGTAGACGACCCCCCCCCCCACACACACACACCTGACCAAAGTAGGCGACCCCCCCCCACACACACACCTGACCAAAGTAGACGACCCCCCCCCACACACACACCTGACCAAAGTAGACGACCCCCCCACACACACCTGACCAAAGTAGACGACCCCCCCACACACACCTGACCAAAGTAGACGACCCCCCCCCCCCACACACACACACTGACCAATGCACCTGACCAAAGTAGACGACCCCCCCCCCCCACACACCTGACCAAAGTAGACGACCCCCCCCCCCACACACACACCTGACCAAAGTAGACGACCCCCCCCCCCCACACACACACACTGACCCATGCACCTGACCAAAGTAGACGACACCCCCACACACACACCTGACCAAAGTAGACGACCCCCCCCCCACACACACACACTGACCCATGCACCTGACCAAAGTAGACGACACCCCCACACACACACCTGACCAAAGTAGACGACCCCCCCACACACACACACTGACCCATGCACCTGACCAAAGTAGACGACCCCCCCCCACACACACACCTGACCAAAGTAGACCCCCCCCCCACACACACACCTGACCAAAGTAGACGACCCCCCCCCCACACACACACCTGACCAAAGTAGACGACCCCCCCACACACACCTGACCAAAGTA